GGCATGCTTTCCGACGATCTCCAGCTGGCTGCTGCCCAGAAACCCACCCACATCTCCAGGGACAAAAAGGGCTTTCATTGTGAACTTCAGGGAGGGCACAAGGAAGGAATTTGGACCCCCAACGCACCCCATTGGTGGCTCATCAGCATGGCCAAACATGTCTGGCAAGAAGGAGAAGTGGGTGGCACCGCAATGGGCCTGTTGTGTGATTTCAGCTCCACTAAAACCACCACTTCAGGGCAGGGGCGGCTCAACCAATACGCAAAGTAAGCCTTTGCGGTAGAGTTGATTTTGCCCAGGGGCGCTCTTGAGGCGCTCTTGGGGGAAAATAGACCTTGACCTATGCAAGTTGTAGTTACTGGGATGTATAGTTCACCTACAATCAAAGAGCATTCTGAACTCCACCAATGATGGAATTGAACCAAATATGGCACGCAGAACTCCCACGATGAACAGAAAATATATTTCAGTGATTGGTTGGGGGGCGGAGCGCATGCCAAAATACTGTTTGCTTATCATTGAAAATTACCTAGGGCCAGCTCTGGTGACGGCCGACAGGGAGCTCTGGCATGGGCTGGTCCATGAGGTCACGAAGAGTTGGAAACAACTGAACGAATGAACAACAACAAACAAGATATCTAAACATATTGTTATGTTAGGAACTGCAAGTGATTGGTTGGGGGGGGGGGGCAAAATACTGTTCGCTTACCATTGAATATTACCTAGGGCTGCCTCTGCTTCAGGGGCAGAAGTGCCAAGCTTCCATAGGACCAGAGAAGACCCCAATGGACTGAAGGCTTTTGGTTTTCCAGAGGTTTTATTCTCAATGACCAGAGAGGATGTCAGTGCAGATAGCTCTCCAAAGCACTGGCATCCCCCAGTTACAAACACACATGAATATTGGGCTGCTGTGAGTTTTTCAGGCTGTCTGGCCATGTTCCAGTAGCATTCTCACCTGACGTTTCACCTGCACCTGTGGTTAATGGCATTTTCAAAGATCTGTTGACAGTGAAGCAAGTGGGGTGTATATATCCCTCTGGAATGATGTTCAGGGTGAGAGAAAAAACCCTCATTTGTTTGAAGCAAATGTAAATGTTGCCATTAGCAAGTTTGAGTAGCCTTGCAGCTGCAAAGTCAATCAGTGAGGGTATTTGCATAGAGCTAGCCTGGCTGTTGTTGCCTGGAGTCATCCTTTGTTTGGGAGGTGTGAACTGGCAATTGATTGTTTGCTGTCTGGAGTTCTCCTGTTTCTGAGTGGCGCTCCTTCTGAGTGGGGCTGGGCTGTGGCACAGCTATCTGGGAGCCAACTGCATTAAATCACTACTGACCGAGAGGTCATGAGTTTGAAGCCAGCCCGGGTCGGAGTGAGCTTCCGCCTATTAGTCTAGCTTGCTGTTGACCTACGTAGCCTGAAAGACAGTTGCAACTATCAAGTAGAAAATTTAGGTACCACTTTATGGGGGGGGAGGGAGGCTAGTTTAACTAATTTACGACAACATAAAACCTTCCAGCAGCATGCAGAAGAATGAGGAAGTACTCCATCAAAGGATTCAATGTCACAATGGACAGTGTCTCCAATTCTGGGCACCACAATTGAAGAGAGATATTGACTCTAAGCTGGAATGTGTCCAGAGGAGGGTGGCTAAAATGATCAAGGGTCTGGAGAACAAGCCCTATGAGGAGCGGCTTAAGGAGCTGGGCATGTTTAGCCTGAAGAAGAGAAGATTGAGAGGAGATATGATGAGGGCCATGTATAAATATGTGAGGGAAGTCACAGGGAGGAGGGAGCAAGTTTGTTTTCTGCTGCCCTGGAGACTGGGATGCAAAGGAGCAATGGCTTCAAACTACAAGAAAGGAGATTCCACCGGAACATGGGGAAGAACTTCCTGACTGTGAGAGCCGTTCAGCAGTGGAACTCTCTGCCCCAGAGTGTGGTGGAGGTTCCTTCTTTGGAGGCTTTGAAGCAGAGGCTGGGTGGCCATCTGTCAGGGGTGCTTTGAATACAATATTCCTGCTTCTTGGCAGAATGGGGTTGGACTGGATGGCCCAGGAGGTCTCTTCCAACTCTACGATTCTCTGATTCTATGTGATGTGGCAGCTCCCCCGGTGGCCAGAATCGAGCATACCCGCATGAAGCCAAAAAAGTTTGGGCATAGCTGGAATGTTAAAATGCCTCTATGTCTGTCTATATATGTTGTATGTCTAACTGGCATTGAAAGTTTGCCATGTATATGTGCATTGTAATCCACCCTGAGTCCCCTGTGGGGTGAGAAAGCCTGAATATAAATACTGTCAATAAATAAACAAATAAATAAATATTTACTACCTTAATTCTGATGGTCTTTCATACTGGTCATAGAATCATAGAATGAAAGAGTTGGAAGTCCAACCCCATTCTGCCAAGAAGCAGGAATATTGCATTCAAATCACCCCTGACAGATGGCCATCCAGCCTCTGTTTAAAAGCTTCCAAAGAAGGAGCCTCTCTTCAGCAGAGAGTTCCACTGCTGAACGGCTCTCACAGTCAGGAAGTTCTTCCTCATGTTCAGATGGAATCTGAGCATGAGGTCTGTTTCACTTCCAACAGACCTTTGAAGATGCCATTAGCCAAAGATGCAGGTGAAACGTCAGGAGAGAATGCTGCTGGAACATGTCCAGACAGCCCAGAAAACTCTAAGCAACCACATATGCATCTTTACATTGTTTAGTACCAGGAAAGGCTGCAAGTCAAGCTTTGTTACGTCTCCCGGCCTCAGTGCAAACCATTGTCTTAATAGTTCTTAGTGTGCAAACTACAACTCCCAGTTTCCCATATCGCTAAGCCAAGTGGCTTCAAACTGCATTCCTTCTGCAGTCTAGATGCATTCGAAGCCTTGATGCACTGATGTCTCGAGGAAAAAGAAATCTGTTTTCTGAATAACATTCTCAGTAAGTAGATCTCATGTTTATTTATACAGGATATTTATACGCACGTGTTTTTCTACCCACAAGAGAGTTCTCAAGAGGATTTGCAGAGATTGACTCCACTGAGAATGCAATTAGAAGCACAGAACCCGCCACTCACTTCCTCTTCCCAAAGGGTCTTCATTTTGGACTACAACTCCCATTATTCCTCTGCTTAGATGGGAGTTCTGGCCCAAAATCAAAGGCTGCTCTGGGTTGTTGTAGGTTTTCCAGGCTGTATGGACATGTTCGAGAAGCATTCTCTCCTGACGTTTTTGCACACATCTGTGGCAGGCATCCTCAGAGGTTGTGAGGTCTGTTGGAACTAGGAAAAAAGGGGTTTATATATCTGTGGAAGGTCAGAGTGGGAGAAAGAACTCTTGTCTGTTGGAGTTAGATGGGAATGTTTCAATTGGCTGCCTTAATTAGCAACAAACCTCACAACCTCTGAGGATGCCGGCCACAGATGGAGGCAAAACGTCAGGAGAGAATGCTTCTAGAACAGCCTGAAAAACCTACAACAACCCAAAGGCTGCTCTGTTCCTTTCCCTGACACAGCAGTAGACTTACTGGATCCTTACATTGTTCTCAGTGAAGCAAGGATCAAGTAGGGAGACTGGTTGGACTAGATCAGTGTTTCTCAACCTGGGGCTTGGCCCCCCCCCCGGGGGGGGGGTGTTGTAAGGGGGGGTTTCTGAGGGGTTGCCCAAGATCATCAAAAAACACATACTTCTGATGGTCTTAGGAACTCTTTTGGCAGAGAAAGCTGACGATCTTTCCGCCTGCCCTTCTCTTCCTTTTTGGCATTGGTGGACTACAATGACCAGAATTCAAAAAAAGCCCCCCACCCCCACCCCACCAGTATTCAAGAAGAAGGAAGGAGAAAAAGGAGAAGAAGAAGGAAAAAGAAGAAGGAGAAGAAGAAAGAGGAAGAAGAAGGAGGAAGAAGAAGAAGAAGAAAAAGAAGAAGAAGGAAGAAGAAGAAAAGAAGGAGAGAAGAAGGAGGAGGAGAAGAAGGAGGAGGAAGAAAGAAGAAGGAAGGAGAAGAAGAAGGAAGGAAAAGGAGAGGAGAGGAGAGGAAGAAGAAAAGGAGAAGGAGAAGAAGGAAGAAGGAGAAGAAGAAGAAGGAAGGAGAAGAAGGAAGAAGGAAAAGGAGAAGAAGGAGAGGAAGAAGAAGAATGAAGAAGGAGAAGGAGGAGGAGGAGAAGGAGGAGGAGGAGGAAGAAGGAGGAGGAGAAGAAGAAGGAGAACAAGAAGAAGAAGGAAGGAGAAGAAGAAGGAAGCAGGAAAAGGAGAAGGAGAGGAAGAAGAATGAAGAAGGAGAAGAAGAAGGAAGAAGGAGGAGGATAAGAAGAAGGAAGGAGAAGAAGAAGGAAGCAGGAAAAGGAGAAGGAGAGGAAGAAGGAATGAGAAGGAGAAGAAGGAAGGAAGGAGGAGGAGAAAGAAGAAGAAGGAGAACAAGAAGAAGAAGGAAGGAGAAGAAGAAGAGAGAGAAGAAGGAGAAGAAGAAGGGAAGAAGGAGGAGGAATAAGAAGAAGAAGGAGAAAGAAGAAGAAGAGGAAGGAGAAGAAGAAGAGGAAGGGAAGAAGGAAGGAAGGAGGAGGAGAAGGAAGGAGGAAGGAAGAAGGAAGAGGAAGGAGAAGGAGAGGAAGAAGAAGAATCAAGAAAGAGGAAGGAAGAGAGGAGGAAAGGAAGAGAAGGAGAAGAAGAGAAAAAGGAAGGAGAAGAAGAAGGAAGCAGGAAAAGGAGAAGGAGAGGAAGAAGAAGAATGAAGAAGGAGAAGAAGAAGGAGAAGAAAGAGAGGAAGAAAAAGAATGAAGAAGAAGGAGGAGGAGGAGGAGGAGGAGGAGCAGAAGGGAGAAGAAGGAGGAGGAGGAGGAGGAGAAGAAGAAGGAGGAGAAGGAGGAGGAGGAGGAAGGAAGAAGAAGGAAAAGGAGGAGAGGAAGGAAGGAGGAGGAGGAGGAGGAGGAGGAGAGGTACGGTCCCTTTACGAGAGGCATTTTTTTCCTTTCCCTCCAGCGAGACTACAAATCCCGGCATGCACATGGGGCAGGTGACGTCACAGTCGCTCAAACCCTCCCCCCTCCCTCTCCCTTGGCTCCTGCTTTCCCATGGAGGAGAATCTCGGGGCGCTTTGCAGGTGAGCCATTGGAGGGAAGGGGGTGGGGCCAGTGGCACCCCCAAATAGGGCTCTCCTTCTTGTCTGCAAACCCCCTTGACCCAGGGCAAGGCCAAAGGGAGACCCCCTTTTGGCCCCGGTGTAGTTACTCTGGGGCAAGGGCTTGAAGCTCCAAGGGGAACCCAGTCTTCAAACCTTGGATCTCTTCCTGGGTGTCACTTTTGGAAAAGGTTGGGGTGCAGAGGAAGCTTGGAAGGGGGCTGGAGATCAGCCCCACCCAGAGGTGCATCTACACTGGGAAATTAATCCAGTTTGGCACCACTTTAGCTGCCATGTCTCAATCCTATGGGTTCCTCAGAGTTGCGAGTTCGACCACATCTTCAGTCTTCTCTACCTCACTAAACTACAACTCCCAAGCACTTTTGGGGCTGGGAAGGCTCAAGACCTTCTGAAACTACAACTCCCAGGGCTCAGTTGCAGTCCAAGTGGTGCCAAGCCCCATTCATTCTGCCGTAGAGATGCAACGCAGGCAGACCATGGCCTTCAAAGAAGGCTATGCAGTCCTAGAAGAGCCTCATGGGTTGTGTAGTCCATCCCCATTGGTCTTAATGGGGGAAGCTTCTCCAGCCACATCAGCAGGGAGCTGTCCAGTCCCCCCTCTTTTGGAGGAAGTTTGGGTGCAATGCTGCTGATCCCACCGCTCTCCAATGGCATGAAAAAGGGCTGCACGGTGGTCCAAGGCCTGGAAACTATGGAACCCTCTGAGGAGCCATCTACACTGCCCTACAATCCAGATTACCAAAGAAGATAATCCACATTATCTGCTTTGAGTTGGATTATATGAGTCTACAGTGCCATATAATCCACTTCAAAGCAGATAATCTGGATCTACAGAGTTTTCTAAGATCTAGAGGCACTCGCTGGAACACCCCAGCAAGCAAGAGTCCAAAAGTGGCAGGCTCAAACCCAGAACCTCAACCAATGGCTGATAAATGAGAGACTCCCCCCTGGGCACACAGAGGACGGGGCGACTTGGAAGGCGCTGAACAGACTGCACTCTGGGTTGTTGTAGGTTTTTTCGGGCTATATGGCCATGTTCTAAAGGCATTTTCTCCTGACGTTTTGCCTGCATCTATGGCAAGCATCCTCAGAGGTAGTGAGGTCTGTTGGAACTAGGAAAAAGGGTTTATATATCTGTGGAATGACCAGGGTGGGACAAAGGACTCTTGTCTGCTGGAGCTAGGTGGGAATGTTTCAACTGACCACCTTGATTAGCATACAATGGCTTGACTGTGCCTGGGACAATCTTGTTTTGAGAGGTGATTAGATGTCCCAGATTCTTTCCTCTCTGTTGTTTTGCTGTTCTAATTTTGGAGGGTTTTTTTTTTTTAATACTGGTAGCCAGATTTTGTTCATTTTCATGGTTTCCTCCTTTCTGTTGAAATTGTCCACATGCTCCTTGTGGATTTCAATGGCTTCTCTGTGTTGGTGGTTGTGAGAGCGATCCAGCACTTCTGTGTTCTCAAATAATCTGCTGTGTCCAGGTTGGCTCATCAGGTGCTCTGCTATGGCTGATTTCTCTGGTTGGAGTAGTTTGCAGTGCCTTTCATGTTCCTTGATGCGTGTTTGGGCATTTCTGCATTTGGTGGTCCCTCTGGAGACTTCTTGTCCACAGCTGCATGGTACACAATGGTAGACTCCTGCAGAGGTGAGAGGATCCCTCTTGTCCTTTGCTGAACGGAGCATTTGTTGGATTTTCTTGGCGGGTCTGTAGATAGTGTGTATGCTGTGTTTCCTCATCAGCTTCCCTCTGCGGTCAGTGGTTCCCTTGATGTATGGGTGGATCTTGGTCTTGACTCTCGAGGCTTGCTTGCTCCTTATCAGACTGCTTCCTTGAACTTGAATGGGTGACGCCTGGCTCGAGAGCAGTACGTGTGAAAAAGATCTTGGAGTCCTCGTGGACAACAAGTTAAACATGAGCCAGGAATGGGATGTGGCGGCAAAAAAAGCCAATGGGATTTTGGCCTGCATCAAGAGGAGCATAGTGTCTAGATCTAGGGAAGTCATGCTCCCCATGCTCTATTCTGCTTTGGTTAGACCACTACCTGGAATATTGTGTCCAGTTCTGGGCACCACAATTCAAGAGAGATATTGACAAGCTGGAATGTGTCTAGAGGAGGGCGACTAAAATGATCAAGGGTCTGGAGAACAAGCCCTATGAGGAGCGGCTTAGGAGCTGGGCATGTTTAGCCTGAAGAAGAGAAGGCTGAGAGGAGATATGATAGCCATGTATAAATATGTGAGAGGAAGCCACAGGGAGGAGGGAGAAAGCTTGTTTTCTGCTTCCCTGGAGACTAGGACGCGAAACAATGGCTTCAAACTACAAGAGAGGAGATTCCATCTGAACATGAGGAAGAACTTCCTGACTGTGAGAGCCGTTCAGCAGTGGAACTCTCTGCCCCGGAGTGTGGTGGAGGCTCCTTCTTTGGAGCTTTTAAACAGAGGCTGGATGGCCATCTGTCAGGGGTGATTTGAATGCAATATTCCTGCTTCTTGGCAGGGGGTTGGACTGGATGGCCCATGAGGTCTCTTCCAACTCTTTGAGTCTATGATTCTATGATTCTATGAATGGAGGTCAGGATAGCAAGCTGCAGTTTCCCAACCTGGCCACTGGAGGTCACTGTTGACTGCCAGAATGATCCCTTCTTAACACTGAAGGCTTTAAAAAGGCACCTGCGTATATCCAGTTATAGTTGTGTGGGCTATCAGGGAAACTGCAATCACAACAACAACACAACTGCTACTACTATATAATAATATAATACACTGTAATACATATATATATAAGTGTGTGTGTGGGGGGTAAAGGTTTTCCCCTGACATTAAGTCCAGTCATGTCTGACTCTGCGGGTTGGTACTCATCTCCATTTCTAAATCTTAGAGCCGACGTTGTCCATAGACACCTCCAAGGTCATGTGACCAACAGGACTGCATGGAGCACCATTACCTTAATACCTTCCCGCAGAAGCAGTACCTATTGATCTACTCCATTTGCATGTTTTCAAACTGCTAGGTTGGCAGAAGTTGGGCCCACCAGTGGAAGCTCACCCCACTCCCCAGATTCGAACCACCAAGCTTCTGGCTAGCAAATTCAGCAGCTCAGCAGTTTAGCCTGCTGCACCGCCGGGGGGCCCTTCAATAATCATAATGATAATAATAAAAGTAATAATAATTCTTGCTGCCCAAGAAGGAGAGATGCTTGTTAGTGCATGAACTTGCTTTTGTTGTGGTGGTGGTTATTTTCCTTTGCTGCCCAAAACGTAGAGATTGTGGTGCATGCACTTCCAATAACAACAACAACAACAACAACAACAGTTCTTCTTGCTACTTAAGAAGGAGAAATGGTTGCTTGCACACACACACTTCCTTTTGTTGTTGTTGTTGTTGTTTTCCTTTGCTGCCTAAAAAGTAGAGACTCTATCTGGCGCATGCACTTCCAATAATAATAATAATAATAATAATAATAATAATAATAATAATTCTTGCTACTTAAGAAGCTGGGTCTCGGGAAGCGAGTGGCGGTACTTCAAGTCCCATCATCCATGGTCCATCCTCCTCGAAACTGCACCAGGATGTAGAGTGGGTCATGGGGGCTCTGTGTGCCAAGTTGGGTCTTGATCAGTCATTGGATGAGGGTTGCAGTGGTCTCGGGAAGTGAGTGGATGTACTACAAGTCCCATCATCCATGGCCCACCCTCCTCCAAACAGCAGTAGGATGTAGAGTGGGTCATGGGGGCTCTGTGTGCCAAGTTTGGTCTTGATCAGTCATTGGATGAGGGTTGCAGCGGTCTCGGGAAGTGAGTGGATGTACTGCAAGTCCCATCATCCATGGCCCACCCTCCTCCAAACAGCAGTAGGATGTAGAGTGGGTCATGGGGGCTCTGTGTGCCAAGTTGGGTCTTGATCAGTCATTGGATGAGGGTTGCAGCGGTCTCGGGAAGTGAGTGGATGTACTGCAAGTCCCATCATCCATGGCCCACCCTCCTCCAAACAGCAGTAGGATGTAGAGTGGGTCATGGGGGCTCTGTGTGCCAAGTTGGGTCTTGATCAGTCATTGGATGAGGGTTGCAGTGGTCTCGGGAAGCGAGTGGAGGTACTGCAAGTCCTATCATCCATGGCCCACCCTCCTCCAACCAGCAGTAGAATGTAGAGTGCGTCTTGGGGCTCTGTGTGCCAAGTTTAATCTTTATCAGACTTTGTTGGGGGCCACAGTGGTCTGTGCGAATCGATGGGTTTGAAAGTACTACAGATCCCATCATCCTTTTTCTGTCCTCCCCCAAACCTCACCAGGATGTAAAGGGGGTCATCGGGGTTATGTGTGCCAAGTTTGGTCCAGGTCCGTCACCCGTGCTGGTCACAGTGGCCTGTGAAAGTGGCAGCCAATCAGAAAGCTGCCACATACACCATCCTCCCTCTGCATACAAACACTAACTTTTATTATATACATTGATATTATAGAATTCTTGTTGTTGTTATTTTTTGTTGTATAGTGTTAATACACACACATATACATATGGGTGTGTGTGTGTGTATGTATGTATTAACACTATACCTAAAAAATTGAAACAAATTCTGTTCCTTGTATTGTCGGAGGCTTTCATGGCCGGAATCACTGGGTTGTTGTAGTTTTTTCGGGCTATATGGCCATGTTCTAGAGGCATTCTCTCCTGACATTTTGCCTGCATCTATGGCAAGCATCCTCAGCGGTAGTGAGGTCTGTTGGAACTAGGAAAAAGGGTTTATATATCTGTGGAATGACCAGGGTGGGACAAAGGACTCTTGTCTGTTGGAGCTAGGTGTGGCGCAGGGATTGTGGCACAGCTGGCTGAGTGTCAGCTGCATTAAGATCACTCTGACCAAAAAGATCATGAGTTCGAAGCCAGCTCGGGTTGGAGTGGGTTTCCAACCAATTATGTGTAGCCTGTTGTCGACCTTTGCAACCCGAAAGACAGTTGCATCTGTCAAGTAGGAAAATTAGGTACCACCTTAAAGTGTGGGGAGGCTAAATTAACTGATTTACGAGGCCATAAAGAAGACTCCAGCAAAGCATTCCAGAGGGGAAGCATGCGGGGAATGCGGAAGTGCTTCATCAGCGTCGCAGATGGACGATGAAAGCGACAGCTCCCCTGGCGGCCAGAAAAAGTTAAATAGCCTCTGTGTATGTCTGTATATGTTTGTACGTCAAAAACTGGCATTGAATGTTTGCCATATATGTGTACACTGTAATCCGCCCTGAGTCCCCTGCGGGGTGACGAGAAGGGTGGAATATAAAAGCTGTAAATAAATAAAATGTAAATAAAGTTTGGTCCAGATCCATCATTATATGCTAATCAGAGGTGGTCAGTTGAAACATTCACACCTAGCTCCAGCAGACAAGAGTCCTTTGTCTCCCCACTGGTCATTCCACAGATATATAAACCCTTTTTCCTAGTTCCAACAGACCTCACTACCTCTGAGGATGCTTGCCATAGATGCAGGAAAAACATCAGGAGAGAATGCCTCTAGAACATGTAATCACCTCTCAACAAAAGATTGCCCCAGGCACTGCCAGGCTATCAAATGCTAATCAAGGTGGTCAGTTGAAACATTCACACCTAGCTCCAGCAGACAAGAGTCCTTTGTCCCACCCTGGTCTTTCCAAAGATATATAAACCCTTTTTCCTAGTTCCAACAGACCTCACTACCTCTGAGGATGCTTGCCATAGATGCAGGCGAAACGTCAGGAGAAATGCCTCTAGACCATGGCCATATAGCCCAAAAAAACCTACAACAACCCAGTGGACTTTTTCTGGAGACCAGGGTTATATTTCCTGTTTAATTACCTTGAAAGTAGTTGTTCTACTCCCGAAACTTTGCTTTTGTGGTGCAAACTTTGTAAAATTGATTGGGACTCAATGAGCAAAATGTGCAATAGCAGGATGTCCCTTTTGCAAAAACAAAATTCCATATTTTTTTTATGATAGAACCAATTAGGAAATGACATTTATTACCTAGGGACAAAAATCACGTGACATGTTATATAATAATATAATACCATGCCAGAGATACAGCTTAATGGGGTAACATTAGAAAATGTGGACCACTTCCGCTCCCTTGGCAGCCACCTCTCCACCAAAGTCAACATCGACACCGAAATACAACACGGCCAGAGCTCTGAGAGTGCAGCATTTTCCCGAATGAAGCAGAGAGTGTTTGAGGACCAAGACATCGTAGGGAACCAAGGTGCTTGTTTATAAAGCCTTTGTCCTCCCAATGCTATATGCCTGTGCGACGTGGACTGTCTACAGACGTCACATGCAACTCCTGGAACAATTCCATCAGCGCTGCCTCCGGAAAATCCTGCAAATATCTTGGGAAGACAAGTGGACAAACGTCAGCGTGCTGGAAGAAGCAAAGACCACCAGCATTGAAGCGATGGTCCTCCCCATCAACTCCGATGGACCGGCGACTGCCTTCCACCTGGAAACTGATTCCCTCACTGCGGAAGGGAGAAGATGCAGATCCAGAATAGGGATCCACAGTCACCGCCAGGATACTACACTTGGAGGTCCATCATCCTCGGACTACGAGGGATCGCCTAAGTAAGTAAAATATGTAATATAATACCTTTTTTTCCTGTTGGAGATGATGATAATCATAATTATTATTACTTTCTTTCCCAGAATATGATGTTCCTCAGATGTCTTGAGCTGCTTCCCTTAAACTCCGAAGACTCTTCCCTTGAGTGAAGGAAAGCTGGTGGAGATGCTTTGTCTCCATTTTTGGTGCCTTCCATCCATGTTTGGGTTGAACAATTCCTTGGACGCCACTTGCTTTGCTCCAAATAGATCAAGGCTGTGCCCTGATATCCGACGCTAACAAGAGTCCATCCCTTGGGCTGAGAGAGTGTGACTCCACCATGCCTCTCCAGAGCTTTCTAGCCTTCGTTGTCCTCTTCTCCCTTTCTTTGGCCTTATCCAACCAGCCTCCCAACATTGTCCTGATCTTTGCTGATGACTTGGGTTTTGGGGACCTGGCCTGCTATGGTCATCCGGGCTCCTCCACGCCAAACCTGGACAAGATGGCTGCTGCTGGGTTGCGCTTTACGGATTTCTACAGCAGCAGCCCCGTCTGCAGCCCCTCCAGGTAAGACTTTTCTCTGCCCCTTCTTTGCGTCCTACATCTCCCAGACTCCAAAAATTCCATGTTCTTTCAACCAGGGCCAGCCCTGCTTAGCAGCAGGTTTCAGGCCCAATCCTATGCACGTTAGGGTATTTAGGCCTCCCAGTATCTTACCAGTTGCATTAAGATCACTACTGACCGAAAGGTCATGAGTTTTAAGCCAGCCCGAGTCGGAGTGAGCTTCCGACCAATTTGTGTAGCTTGTTGTCATCCTTTGCAGCCTGAAAGACAATTACTTCTGTCAAGTAGGAAATTTAGGTACCACTTATGTGGATATTCTGGGTTGTTGTAGGTTTTTTCGGGCTGTATGGCCATATTCTAGAGGCATTCTCTCCTGACGTTTTGCCTGCATCTATGGCAAGCATCCTCAGAGGCTGTGAGGTCTGTTGGAACTAGGAAAATGGGGTTTATATATCTCTGTGTGTGTATATATGTATGTATGTGGATACGTATATGTGTGTTCATGTGTATATGTATATATGTATGTATATGTATGTGTGTATATGTGTAGATTTGTGTGTGTTTGTGCATATATATACCTCTGTGTGTGTATATATGTATGTATGTGGATACGTATATGTGTGTTCATGTGTATATGTATATATGTATGTATATGTATGTGTGTATATGTGTAGATTTGTGTGTGTTTGTGCATATATATACCTCTGTGTGTGTATATATGTATGTATGTGGATACGTATATGTGTGTTCATGTGTATATGTATATATGTATGTATATGTATGTGTGTATATGTGTAGATTTGTGTGTGTTTGTGCATATATATACCTCTGTGTGTGTATGAATGTGTGTATGTGTGTATGTATATGAGTGTATGTGTATATGTATATATGGTGTACTTTTGGGGTTTTTAAGTCTGCATCTATGGCAAGCATCCTCAGAGGTAGTGAAGTCTGTTGGAACTAGGAAAAAGGGTTATATATCTGTGGAATGACCAGGGTGGGACAAAGGACTCTTGTCTGCTGGAGCTAGGTGTGAATGTTTCAACTGATCACCTTGATTAGCATTTGATGGCCTGGCAGTGCCTGGAGCAATCTTTTGTTGAGAGGTGATTAGATGTCCTTGTTTGTTTCCTCTCTGTTGTTGTGCTGTCGTAATTTTGGAGTTCATTTTATTTGAGAACACAGAAATGCTGGACCACTCTCACAACCACCATGTCAGATGACACAGAGAAGCCATTGAAATCCACAAGCATGTGGACAATTTCAACAGAAAGGAGGAAACCATGAAAATGAACAAAATCTGGCTACCAGTATTAAAAAAACTCTAAAATTACAACAGCAAAACAGCAGAGAGGAAACAAACAAGGACATCTAATCACCTCTCAACAAAAGTTTGCTCTAGGCACTGTCAGGCCATAATAATAATAATAATAATAATAATAATAATAATAATAATAATAATAAACCTTTATATATACCCTGCTACCATCTCCCACAGGACTCGGTGTGGCTTACAAGAGGCCGAGCCCAAATACATCATAAAACATAACAACAACAATACAACAATAAACAACTCATAACAAAGCAAAACAATACAATGATGACACAACGCAATTAAAACCTGTGGCAGGTTTTAATATATGCTAATCAAGGTGGTCAGTTGAAACATTCACACCTAGCTCCAGCAGACAAGAGTCCTTTGTCCCACCCTGGTCCTTCCACAGATATATAAACCCTTTTTCCTAGTTCCAACTGACTTCACTACCTCTGAGGATGCTTGCCATAGACGCAGGCGAAACGTCAGGAGAGAATGCCTCTAGATCATGGCCGTATAGCCCGAAAAAACCTACAACAACCCAGTGATTCCGGCCATGAAAGCCTTCGACAATACGCTAATTTAACTAATTTACGACATCATAAAAATCTCCAGCAGCATGCAGAAGAATGAGGAAGTACACCATTGGTGTCACAAGTGGACGGTGAAGCAACAGCTCCCCTGGTGGCCAGAATACCCTCATGAAAGCTGGGAAGTTAAATAGCCTCTGTGTGTCTGTCAGGGCTGCTCTGCTGACCGGACGCTTCCAGACCCGCTCCGGCGTCTATCCGGGCGTCTTCTACCCCGGTTCCCGTGGAGGTCTCCCTTTGGCCGAAGTGACGCTGGCGGAGCTGCTGAAGGGCCGGGGCTACGCCACTGCTGCGGTGGGCAAGTGGCACCTGGGGCTGGGGCCAAACGGCACCTTCCTGCCCACCAACCAAGGATTTGACCACTACCTGGGGGTGCCCTACTCTCACGACCAGGTGAGCAGCCTCTTCCAAGGAGGAATCATTGGGTGGGACTAGATGGCCTTTGGGGGGCCCTTCCAACTCTAGCGTTGCGTATTAAGAACACTCTGGAGGAGAGGTGGGTGAAAAATGAAATGTGTATTCCCTTGAACTTCCTGTAAGAAGAGCTGTTCAACAGTGGAACTCTCTGCCTCGGAGTGTGTAGGGAGCTCCTTCCTTGGAAGCTTTTAAAGAGAGGCTGGATGGCCATCTGTTGGTGGTACTTTGTGCTTTTCCTACCGCAGGGTCCGTGCCAGAACCTGACCTGCTTCCCTCCGGACGTGCGCTGCTTTGGCTCCTGCGACCAAGGCGTGGTCTCCGTCCCCTTGATGTGGAACCAGAGCATCCTGGAGCAGCCGCTCTCCTTCCCAAAACTCCAGGCCCGCTACACCGCCTTCGCCAGGGACTTCATCACCAGCGCAGCCAAGCGCAGGCTCCCCTTCCTCCTGTACTACGCATCCCATGTGAGCATCTCCCACTGGGAGCGGAGAGGGAGGGGGGTCCCCATGCCTGTTGGGAGGGGGCAGCAGGGAGGTACACCCAGGGAGGAAGGAAAGAAGGGAAGGAAGGAAGGAAGGAAGGAAGGAAGGAAGGAAAGGGAAGGAAGGAAGGGGGAAGGAAAGAAGGAAGGAAAAAGGGAAGGGAGGAAGGAAAGGAAATGAAAGGAAAGGGGAGAGGGGAAGAAAGGAAGGAAGCAAAAAAGGAAGGAGAAGGAAAGGAAAAGGAAGGGAAGGAAGGAAGGAAAAAAGGAAAGAAGGAGGGGAGGGAGGAAGGAAGCAAAAAAGGAAGGAAAGAAAGAAAGGAAAAGGGAAGGGAGGGAGAAAAAGAGAGAGAAGGAAGGGCAAAAGTGTGGAAGGGAAGAACGAAGAAAAAAGAAGGAAAAGGAAAGTGAAGAGAAGGAAGGAGACGAATGGAGGAACGAGGGAGTATGGAGAAAGCAGCAAAGAAGTAAGATATATGAATGAAGGAGGTGTGTGGAGGGATGGAGTAATCAAAAAGTAACGGAAATAAAGAAATAACCGTAATGACCGATTTGTATGTCCTAGGAATTGAGGAATGCATACGGAATTACTACTGCCTTTAATCCGTCTTGAGTACCTGAAAATGATTTATCATTCCTTCTGTGGCCTTCTCACTACATTCGGCATTACATGTCTGCAATGAAACATCAATAGAATGTCCTTCCTTAAGTTCGAGAGGAAGAAAAGAAGGAAGGAAGGAAAAAGCAAGCAAAGAAGGAAGGGGCAAAAGAGGCAGTGTATGTACCACGAAGCCATACCATAAGCTTTTTTTCTGTTTGCCTGTCAACAACAACAACAACAAAATATTACCTACTTCTGATTAGAATAAATAGACATAAAATCGTTTTAAAACCCTCTGAAATACATTTAAAATAATAACTTTCAAACCAACTTCCAAAAGATTAACACCAAGAAAGCAACTTAGTTTCCATTTCTGAATGTTACTTTGGAAATGCGATTTACTAGAAAGCAATTGTTTATTACTACATGATTGATGTATTCCTCCTTCCACATTGTTACCACTGCTTTACTACATTGTGGCCCTCTGTTATATCTAGTTACTTCTAGTAACTAATTTGGTTATTTCCAAAGTTTGAAGCTAATAGGGGAGAAAAGAATTACCTCCATTGAAACTTGGAATTAATGCATTTTGGGACCACTTAGCTGCCATGGCTCAATGCTATGGCATTCTAGGAATTGTAGTTTACAGGGTGCTTTGAGGCAGGAAAGTATAAAGACCTTAGAATCATAGAATCATAGAATCATAGAATCAAAGAGTTGGAAGAGACCTCATGGGCCATCCAGTCCAACCCCATTCTGCCAAGAAGCAGGAATATTGCATTCAAATCACCCCTGACAGATGGCCATCCAGCCTCTGCTTAAAAGCTTCCAAAGAAGGAGGAAGCTTGCAAAACTACAACTCCCAGAATTCCATAGCATGGAGCCATAGCTGAATTGCATTACTGGTGATTATAGAGCATAGATGCACTTTTGGTAAGCGATATTTCCTAAAGGCAAGGTTGGCAGCATCCAGCAATGGAAGACAACGGCTCTTGAAACAGTGGTTGGAAATTGCAATGAGTTTGAGGAAACAAATTGATTGATTTCCCCCTTCTCCAGCACACCCATTACCCCCAGTTTGCAAGCGAGGAGTACACTGGGCGGTCACCCCGGGGGCCTTTTGGAGACGCTCTCCTTGAATTTGACGGATCTGTCGGACACATCCTACAGGCTTTGCAAGAGGCCGGAGTGGACAAGAATACACTGGTGTTCTTCACTGCCGACAACGGGTGAGTCAGCACGGATCCTGTCTGAAGGAAAGCAAACTTCATTGTGAAGGTAGTTTTATCCCCATGTCACACCTCAGAGTAGATTCACCTTGCTGAAAACGCCAAACTGCACACAGCCAGAAGTCTTTATAGTTTATTAAAAATAAAAGATAAAAGTTCTTAAAGGCAAAGGTAATGCTCCAAAAGATCAATACAAAATAACACTTTGAAGCTTGATCCAAAAAGGCATCAGCAAAGCAAAATCCCATCAGAACATGACTCAGTCCTGAAACCATGATCACCAGAACTGCAAAATAATCCAGACAAGCAAAGGCAAGCTTCTTAGTAGAACGAAAAGTTGCTTTGACAAAGGTTTGGTCCCCAACACACTGCTTAATACCCTTTGCAAAACACGAAGGCATTTCTTTGGTCTCTGACATCCTTTTTGTTAGCTATTCTCACACTCCTTCGAACTCTGAATCCCAAACGGTCAGCCTGATCTAAGGTTCCCATATCATCAAGGTCAGTCTGTTCATTAGTGTCAACCTGTTTCCCTTCTTTCTCATTATCAGGGTGAGAACTGTCATAGAATCCTAGAATCCTAGAGTTGGAAGAGACCTCCTGGGCCATCATCCAGTCCAACCCCATTCTGCCAAGAAGCAAGAATATTGCATTCAAATCACCCCTGACAGATGGCCATCCAGCCTCTGTTTAAAAGCCTCCAAAGAAGGAGCCTCCACCACACTCCGGGGCAGAGAGTTCCACTGCTGAACGGCTCTCACAGTCAGGAAGTTCTCCCTCATGTTCAGATGGAATCGTCTCTCTTGTAATTTGAAGCCATTGTTCCATTGCGTCCTAGTCTCCAGGGCAGCAGAAAGGAAGCTTGCTCCCTCCTCCTCCCTGTGGCTTCCTCTCACATATTTATACATGGCTATCATCATATCTCCTCTCATCCTTCTCTTCTTCAGGCTAAACATGCCCAGCTCCTTAAGCCGCTCTGCATAGGGCTTGTTCTCCAGACCCTGTCCTCCTTCTCTGAGTCAATCTGCACCTGCACCTGGCTAGTTTCAGTATTAACACTCTCCTTCCTTACTGTGGGAAACTGCATTTTTTCACTGTCTATAACAGGGACATTTTGAGCCAGGCTGTGAACCTGACTCCCACCATCCTCATCAGAGACACTCCATGGTTCCAGCTGAGTCACAACACCCCATTTCAGGGAGACCTTTGAAAAGGTCCCTATGACATTCTTGTTGGGGGTACCCCAAAAGGCAGCTTGGGTTCTCCCTGCCCCATTGAATCAGTAGCCTCCAGATCCTGAACAGTTGGATCTGAAGCATGCACTTGTGAAGCAGCTGCACTTTCCTGCTCTTCCCCTGCCTCTGTGGTGACCTCACAGCCTCTGAGGATGCCTGCCATAGATGCAGATGAAACGTCATCTAGAATGCTTCTAGAACATGGTCATACAGCCCAAAAAACCTACAACAATCCTGTTTTTAGTTCTGGACAAAGCCGTTCAAGAAGGAAATGGACAAAAGGGAAGGTGTCCAGAGGGTGACCCAAATGGTCAAAGGTCTGGAAACTATTAATCCCTCGGAGGAACGACTGGGGGAGTGGGCACTTTTACTCTGGAGGGGGGAACATGATTTGGACAACTTCTGGAACAGCGTTGCTTCAAAAAAAAATCCTGCAAATCTCTTGGGAAAATAGGCAGATAAATGCCAGTGTCTGGAAGAAGCAAAGACTACCAAACATTGAAGTGATGATCCTCCACCATCAACTCGGTTGGACTGAATGCCAATTTGTCCAAATGCCCAAAGCTCACCGTCTCACAAAGCAGTTACTATACTCCCAACTCAAAAATGGAATGATGGTGGACAGGAAAGGAGATTTAAAGATAGGCTTAAAGCTAACCTTAAAAACTGTGGCATAGACACTGAGAGAGAACTGGGAAGCCCTGGCCCTTGAGTGTCTAACTGGGGGTCATCTTGGACCAACAGTGCTGTGGAATTCAAACAGGCACGAATGGAAGGCAAAAGGGAGAGAGGTGTCAAGAGGAAGAAGGCACCTCAAGCCAACCCTTGTTGGGACCACCTTCCAGCTGGAAACCGACGTCCTCATTGTGAAAGAACATGCTGGTCAAGAATAGGTCTCCACAGTCACCTGTGGACCCACCACCAAGACCCTACACTTGGAAAGCAATTATACTTGACCATGAGTGATGGCTGGTGATGATGATGATGATGATGATGATGATGATGATGATGATGATGATGATATGGAAACTATCCTCCTATGGATGCAACCTAGAATTGTATTGGCCTTTTTGGCTGCTGTATCATTTTGTTGGTTGTGGTCCACTAGGATTCCCATACTGCTTTCTGGTGATCAAGAATAGGTCTCCACAGTCACCTATGGACCCACCATCAAAACCCTACACTTGGAAAACAATTACACTCAATCATGAGTGATGGCCAATGTTGTTGTTGTTGTTGATGATGATGATGATATGGAAACTATCCTACTATGGATGAAACCTAGAATCGTATTGGCCTTTTTAGCTTCTGCATCATTTTGTTGGTTGTGGTCCACTAGGATTCCCATACCGCTTTCTTGTATAATGTGTGCTGTTTTTAAATCAGGTGTCATGCTTCCTATATTTGTGCATTTGATGTTTTGTTTTCTGTTCCTTGCTGAAATGTAGGTTTCAGCCTGTTCTTGAAATTTGAGGGGAAATGGATAGAGAAAATGGGCTCTAGAGCAGGCATGGGTCAACTTGTTAGGAACTATGGGAGTTGAAGTCCATAACACCTGGAGGGCCCAAGTTGGCCCATGCCTGTTATTGAGGATAAGATTCCTGACACGGCTCCCTTTGTGCTTGCAGCCCCGAGACCATGCGAATGTCTCGCGGTGGCAGCTCCGGACTCCTCAAGTGCGGCAAAGGCACTACTTATGAAGGCGGGATGCGGGAGCCAGCCATTGCCTATTGGCCAGGACGTATTGCACCAGGTGAGTTTCACCAGGGAAGGTCTAGCGGTCAGTGCAGGGGCCAAACGCAGGCTGTGCCAGGTCTAGCCAGGGCCATTGGGCAATACTCCTCCCCTGGTTGTCAAATGCCAGATGGCCAAAATGGGGCAGGAGTGTCATGGAATTATAGTGAAGGGACACTACTAGTTAAGACAAAAAGGGAACCTTGAAGTGGAAATTTACCAGCTGAAAGTAGAGAGCTCAGACAAGGAGAAAGCTCAGGACAGGAAAGACGAATCTGAGGAAAAGCGGACACTGATGACAGCTGTCACCAAGAGAAGAAAAGAAAAGAAGATAAAAGATGAGACAGAGTTCAGAGCAAAAAGCTTGTGTGTACGTGCTCAAAGTATGCTTAACATTTTGACTCTGAAACTCAGCTGCACCTCAGTTCAGTGTGACACTTTGCCCTTTTGCTCCACCCACCAGGGTGACTTGGCCAAATAAACCTATTGAATGATCTCCTTGCATCTAGGAAAGGAAAGAGGGACACAGTAGCAAGGCCCAACAATAGAGTTGGAAGAGACTCCCAAAGGCCATCCAGTCTAATCCCCATCTGCCATGCAGGAAAAGCACAGATGGCCATCTAGTCTCTGCTTAAAAGCCTCCAACAAGGACCTTCAACCGTACTCCAAGGCAGAGGGTTCCACTGCTGAACAACTCTTCTAACAATCAGAAAGTGCTTCCTATTATTCACCTGTGGCCATTCACTGTGCTTTCTCTCTTTGTTTTGGGAGCTAGGGGTCACCCATGAATTGGCCAGCATCCTGGACATCTTGCCAACGGTGGCGTCCATAGCCGGAGTGGCCCTTCCCAACGTGACTTTGGATGGCTATGACCTCAGCCCCGTCCTCTTTGGGAGCAGCAAGGTGAGTCTCATGGCTGCCCTGAAGGATTCTGGGAAATTGAGTAATGGGAGGCTTGGCATGGAGGCTTCCCACCACCTCTGGATCACTTTGGGCTTCTGTCCAAGGGAATAACCAGCCTTGGTGCCTACCAGAGTTGGGCAAAACATTAGAAGATGATACCCAGAGGACCATCTAGCATAGTCTGGCCAACTCTTGACGGGCAGCTGCAGGTCTTTGAGTTGTAGCTTGAGATGGTGGTCTTCCATCCAAGAAATGAACAGGTCTGGCCCTGCTTAGCTTCCAAATTCAGGTAAATATATAAAGTTATGCATGTATAGCCCTGTAGCATCAACTCTGATCCGCAGTGACCTCCAAGGAGGAGTCTCTCCAGGTCCCATCTTGGGGTGCACTATAGAATTAATGAAATCTGACACTATTTTAAAACAATGAACCTCACTCAGAAACAGGAGGACTCCAGACAGTAAACAAACAAGTGTCAGTTGACACCTCTCAAACAGAGGGTGTCCCCAGGCAACAGAGGCCAGGCTACCTCTATGCAGAGATCCTCACTGATTGATTTTGCAGCTTCATGGCTACTCAATGCTATTCAAGCTTGCAAATTGCAACATTCACAACAGGCAATGGTTCTTTCTCCCATCCTGGACATTACTCTACAGGTAAGTACACACTCCACTTGCCTCACTGCCAACAGAACCTCTAAAGATGCCAGCCACAGATGCAGGTGACACATCAGGAGAGAATGCTGCTGTAACATGGTCAGACAGCCCGGAAAACGCACAGCAATGCAATATTGACTCCATCTTTTTCTTGCAGAGCCCCCGCCAGCTGATGTTCTACTACCCTCCTTCACCAAACCAGTTGCTGGGGGTCTTTGCAGTCCGCTATGGGAAATACAAGGCCCACTTCTTCACCCAAGGTGTGTTTTTGGCCACCCCTAGGAATGGGGTGTCGTGGCATGAGAATTGGACTGGGTGTTGCACTCCAAGACAGGAATAACCCTCTGACTTTAAAACACCACACATTGAATAGGGAAAGCAATCCTTTTATTGAAGATAAGTAAAAACAGCAAAGTAAAAAAACACTTTAAAGGAATAGGTAAATCAAATTAGGTAAAAAGATAAGCAGGGACAAGGTAGAGTTCAACAACGTCCGAAAACAAAGTCCACAACTCTCTAACAAAATCCAACAAACCAGGAAAAGTTGATCCAAGGCATGAGCAGGTAATCACAAGAGACACAAAACAAACAAACCAGGAAACAAGAATTCCTTAAGAATGAATCTTCCAAGCAAGGCTTCCATAAGATGAATCCTAGAATCAAAGAGTTGGAAGAGACCTCATGGGCCATCCAGTCCAACCCCATTCTGCCAAGATGCAGGAAAATTGCATTCAAATCACCCCTGACAGATGGCCATCCAGCCTCTGTTTAAAAGCTTCCAAAGAAGGAGCCTGCACCACACTCCGGGGCAGAGAGTTCCACTGCTGAACAGCTCTCACAGTCAGGAAGTTCTTCCTAAAGGAAGTTCTTCCTGAGGACAAGAACTTAGCAGGATTCTAAATGATGCTTCATCTGGCTATATTTTCTATGCTTGGAACTTTTAAGGCTCCCCAAGCACTCAGGAACTGGTTTTGCTTTCCTTGAGTGCCCCTTATCTTTTTATTTATTTTATTTATTTATTTGCAGCTTTTTTATTCCGCCCTTCTCCTCACCCCGCAGGGGTCTCAGGGCGGATTACAGTGTAGACATATATGGCAAACATTCAATGCCAATTTTGACATACAAACATATACAGACATAGACAGAGGCTATTTAACTTTTTCTGGCTGCCAGGGGAGCTGTCACTTTCATCGTCCATCTGCGACGCTGATGAAGTACTTCCGCATTCCCCGCATGCTTCCCCGCTGGAATGCTTTGCTGGAGTCTTCTTTATGGCCTCATAAATCAGTTAATTTAGCCTCCCCACATTTTAAGGTGGTACCTAATTTTCCTACTTGACAGATGCAACTGTCTTTCGGGTTGCAAAGGTCGACAACAGGCTACACAATTGCTTGGGAACCCACTCCAACCCGGGCTGGCTTCGAACTCATGACCTTTTGGTCAGAGTCATCTTAATGCAGTTGACACTCAGCCAGCTGCACCACAATCAACCTCTGATTAAAAACCCCCAGAGAAGGAGAGACTCTTATATTCCATTAGAATTGGAAAGGCCATCCAGTCCCAACTTGTTTCTGCCAGGCAGGAAGACACCATCCAAGCCTTTCCAGCAGATGACCAAACCCTTCAGAGCAGGAGACTTTGCTGCACTCTGTATTTCACTAGCATTGGATGGGAGGCTTCTCAGTCCATCTGCCTTCAGGTATGCAAGAAGATACTCCCCTGACAGATGGCCATGCAGCCTGACTGACCTTTCGTTGTTTGACCCAGGCATGGGCCAACTTTGGCCTTCCTCCAAGTGTTTTGGACTTCAACTCCCAGAATTCCTAACAGCCGATAGGCTGTTAGGAATTGTGGGAGTTGAAGTCCAAAACACCTGGAGGAAGGCCAAAGTTGGCCCATGCCTGGTCTGACCCCTCCATGCCCTCCTGACCCCTTTTGTGCCTCTCTCTTGACCGCAGGTGCCTTCCACAGCGACACGACCCCAGACGCTGACTGCCACGGGCTGACCCCCCTGAAGGCCCATGACCCCCCGCTACTCTTTGACCTGGAGGCTGATCCCGCAGAGAACTACAACCTCCTCCAAGGCGATGCCATGGGGCCGGACCTTCTCACCATCCTCAAGGAGACCCGCTTGCAGAAGGCGCTCTTCGACCTGCGCATGGAGTTTGGGCAGAGCCAGACGGCCAGGGGGCAGGACCCTTCCCTGGAGCCCTGTTGCAACCCCCAGTGCGGGCCCAAGCCCTCCTGCTGCAGCTGCAATAAGGCCTCTTAGCACCCCCTCTTTCCTATCCATTTGGGGAAGTTACTTATCCCAGGCTGCAAGTACTGAGTACTCCTCTCCAGACAAGATTTTGAGGAATTGCTCTTTTTGGGACTTCAACTCCCATCGTTCTCAGCTGGAATCCACCAAGGGACTCTTTCCGATTGCCTGTTGCAGCCCAGCCGCCTACGTGACCCCTTTTCCACCCAAACACCGCACAGATGAACACGAATAAGACGTTTATTAAGAAAAGAGTATCTAATATAAAAACAGTTTCAAAATGCACCCTTGAGCTAGCTTTCCAGAAGCTTGACGAAAAGCAAGGACCAACTCTGAACATCACTTAAAACACAAGCAAGCAACTGTAATCCAAGGGGTTGTTGCACTAAAACTAGAATTGTGTCCAAAAGCTTGAAAGTATGAACATGACCATAACCCCAAGGCTTGATACTCGAACTTGACTATAACCCCCAAGTCTTGAAACAAGATTTGTAATCCAAACAGGAGGCATGGGACTAAAACAGGAAAACAAGACCCAGACCTCAAAACAGAACTTGAACTCAGAGTTCTCAACAGGCAACTTGACCCATGAAAATCCAACGTTGATCTCCCCACTGAACATTGACTCCAATTCCTTAAGAATATTCCCACTTGCCCATGACATCCGTCATTCTCACACCCGGGTTTCCTTTGTTTATCTTTCAGCCTCTGGGAACACCGGATTTGTCTCTGTTTTGCACTATCCCTTCAGAGCTGTAAATGCTGGGTTATCGGTAATCCTTCTGTCTCCTCTGCATTCTTTTCAGAGTCAATCCCTGGCTGATTCTTATGAGAATGACTGCCAATTTCTCCAACAACAAATCTAACCAAAACATTCCCATCGTCTCAAGAAACACTTTTGCTTTCCTCCACAGAAACACCAGGCTCAACCAGAAAATCCTCGTCCTCATCCTCAGAGGCTTCACAGGCCTCAACATTGCCATCCCTATCCTAAGGAATCAGTTCCATAATCCCTCGCCATTGTTTTTAACAACCTCCTGGGGAAATTTTAATGCAATGTGCTCTGCACATGCTCAGATGAACTCTTATCACCGTTGGACGGTCCCCTAGGGGAATTTTCATGCATTCTCTGCACATGCTCAGGTGAATGGATCTCTTGCTATTTAACAACCTCCTAGAGGAACGTAATATTCTCTGCACATGCATCGATGAACTCTTAGTGCTCTTACGGAATTAAAATAATGTTCTCTGCACATATGAACTGTTATGGTGGCGCAGTGGGTTAAATCCCTGTGCTGGCAGGACTGAAGACTGACAGGTCGCAGGTTCGAATCCGGGGAGAGGCGGATGAGCCCAGCTCCCCAAGCAGGGACATGAGAGAAGCCTCCCACAAGGATGATAAAAACATCAAATCATCCGGGTGTCCCCTGGGCAACGTCCTTGCAGATGGCCAATTCTCTCACACCAGAAGCGACTTGCAGTTTCTCAAGTCGCTCCTGACATGACAAAGAAAACCTGTTATGGTTGTGTAACAGCTCCGTAGAGGAATTGGACGTAATGTTTTTAAAGGGGAAAAAATCAGGGAAATTCACGTGGTGCCTTCAGAGCTGGTATTATAAGAGGAAGAGATGATGGAAGTGATAATGATGATGATTATGATGATGATGATGATTATGATAATGGTGACGATGATTGTGATGATGATAATGATGATGAAGATAATAATACATTCCTCCTTGCCTTTGAATCCCACTTTCTTTATTAATTCCTATATTACCTTTGTGATTACATTATGTAAAAAAAATTGAAAACATTTATGTTCCTGGTTTGAAAGTATTATTTCCTGTTTAATGGTGCGGTCCTTATTTTGAAAGTAGTTGTTCTACTCCAGAAACTTCATTTTTTGTTGAATTGGTTGAGACTATGAGATAGTCATTGAAAAACTAGAGCAAAACGTGTCCCTCCGGCAGAAACAAAGCTTTTGCAGCTTAATAAACTTTTTCCATGTTAGGAAATGACATTTATAACTCAAGAACAAAAATCGTGTTACATACACAGTGAACCTCAATGTATTCCAATGCCTTATGGGATCTGGGCCATTCCTTTTCTGTGCCAAAACCAAGGTGCAAAGACTAACAAACAAACAGACAAAATACAAAATTTGTGAGTTTGGTAGTTGATTAAATGTCCTTTGACCAGTCTCTGGCCACTTGGAGTGCCTCTAGTAAAAACAAAGTTTGACCAGTCTCTGGCCCCTTGGAGTGCCTCTGGTGTTGCCGCAAGAAGGTCCTCCATTGTGCATGTGGCAGGGCTCAGGGTGCATTGCAGCAGGTGGTCAGTGGTTTGCTCTTCTCCACACTCACATGTCGTGGATTCCACTTTGTGGCCCCATTTCTGAAGGTTGGCTCTGCATCTCGTGGTGCCAGAGCGCAGTCTGTTCAGCGCCTTCCAAGTCGCCCAGTCTTCTGTGTGCCTAGGAGGGAGTCTCTCATTTGGTATCAGCCATGGCTTGAGGTTCTGGATTTGAGCCTGCCACTTTTGGACTCTCGCTTCCTGGGGTGTTCCAGCGAGTGTCTCTGTAGATCTGAGAAAGCTATGTCTTGATTTAAGTTGTTGACGTGCTGGCTGATACCCAAACAGGGGATGAGCTGGAGATGTCTCTGCCTTGGTCCTTTCACTATTGGCTGCTACTTCCCGGCGGATGTCAGGTGGTGCAATACCGGCTAAGCAGTGTAATTTCTCCAGTGGTGTAAGGCGCAGACACCCCGTGATAATGCGGCATGTCTCATTAAGAGCCACATCCACTGTTTTAGTGTGGTGAGATGTGTTCCACACTGGGCATGCGTACTCAGCAGCAGAGTAGCATAGCGCAAGGGCAGATGTCTTCACTGTGTCTGGTTGTGATCCCCAGGTTGTGCCAGTCAGCTTTCGTATGATATTGTTTCTAGCGCCCACTTTTTGCTTGATATTCAGGCAGTGCTTCTTGTAGGTCAGAGCACGGTCCAGAGTGACTCCCAGGTATTTGGGTGCGCTGCAATGCTCCAGTGGGATTCCTTCCCAGGTGATCCTCAGAGCTCGGGATGCTTGTGTGTTCTTGAGATGAAAAGCACATGTCTGTGTTTTAGATGGGTTAGGGATCAGCTGGTTTTCCCTGTAATAGGCAGTAAGAGCACCTAGAGCTTCGGAGAGCTTCTGTTCAACCATCTCAAAGCTCCCTGCTTGAGTAGGCACGATCATCAGCATAGATGAAGCACTCTGTCCCTTCTGGGCAGTGGCTGGTCATTTGTGTAGATGTTGAACATGGATGGAGCAAGCACGCTCCCCCGAGGCAGGCCATTCTTCTGTTTCCGCCATCTGCTTCTCTGGCCCTGGAACTCAACAAAAAAGCTCCTGTTTTGTAACAGGATTCCTATGAGGTAAATCTTTTTCATTATTTACAATTAGGTTGGAGTTGGACTAGATAAAGATAACCTTTTGGGGACCCTTGCAACTCTATGATGTCTCATCTTGTTTGGGAAATTTTTGTGGGAGTTGAACAGGTTCTTTTAATGTTTTGCCTTAAGCGTGTCCTTTCAGCTTGGATCTCAGAGATATTTGTAAAATGGCAAAAGGATCCCAAAGGATCCTGCAAATCTAGAACTATTTTCTATTTGTCTGTTGCCTGCTTTTTGTTGTAATACTAGCATTTGGGGTACAATTGTCGCAAAAAAATAATGTGCAGATTTGATAAATGTGGATTTAATATGATGTGTGGGAATGAATGGAAGGATGGATGGAGCTAATACTTTTGGAGACACCAGTATAATATTGAGGCCTGCAATGACTAACTACCTGCTTGCTGGACTGTAATTAAAAGTTGCTAATAAGAGCTGAAAAATAAACTCTGTGATAATTCTGGGCACCACAATTCAAGAGAGATATTGACAAGGTGGAATGTGTCCAGAGGAGGGCGACTAAAATGATCAAGGGTCTGGAGAACAAGCCCTATGAGGAGCGGCTTAAGGAGCTGGGCATGTTTAGCCTGAAGAAGAGAAGGCTGAGAGGAGATATGATAGCCATATATAAATATGTGAGGGGAAGCCACAGGGAGGAGGGAGCACACTTGTTTTCTGCTTCCCTGGAGACTAGGAACAATGGCTTCAAACTACAAGAAAGGAGATTCCATCTGAACATGAGGAAGAACTTCCTGACTGTGAGAGCTGTTCAGCAGTGGAACTCTCTGCCCCGGGTGGCGGAGGCTCCTTCTTTGGAAGCTTTTAAACAGAGGCTGGATGGCCATCTGTCAGGGGTGCTTTGAATGCAATATTCCTGCTTCTTGGCAGGGGGTTGGACTGGATGGCCCATGAGGTCTCTTCCAACTCTTTGATTCTATGATTCTAAAATGTTTGCAACATTCCTTATGTTAAGAAGGAAGTCAACATAAGATCAAAACCAATCAAGAAGATCAACATCTGGCCAGGAAACTGGGATTGATCCAGGATGGAAGACTATCATTAATTTACAACTTTGGGACGACATCAGCAGAATATTCCTATAAAAGACTCAGTCTAATAATGCTCAATTGTGACCGACCTGAGGAGTCTGGTTCACCCGCTATGCTCTGCTCCATGGGAAGGACAGAGATGGTGTACCTAAGGAGAGTGGCAGATATGCTATGGGAAAGCATGATTCTGGTCACTTTGGGGCTTCTTTCTCAAGGGAAGAGGAAGAAGTGCGCTTTTGGTGTCTTGGATTTTGTGCAGGGAGTCAGGTTCTGCTGCATGGAAAACAGAGATCTGGTCCTTGGCATTGTGCTTAGGGAAAGAAGTTTTGGTATCTCAGCATTTTGAAGTGTTGGCATTTTGGAACTATGCCTTGGCAGGCTGCAGGAAAGCAGGGTCTGGCCTAAGAGGTGCTTCTCCAAAGAGGGAGAAAAGGATATGGTCATATTTGGGTGCATGAGGATGAATGCATGTACATGTGGTGTGAATGTTGAGTGTAAACGTAATTCCCCTTTGTTTGTTTGTCAGCCACGTAATTGTAAATCGGTATGTCTGTCTGTCCAATGTCATTCTTTGTCTAAATGTTTTTCTGTAATCTGATGTACGCTCTCACACTGGAAATTGCAATAAAAAACCCTATGCTTTCAATCATTGAAAAGCCATTCACGACACAATGTCCATTTCTCCATTGGAAGACAAAGCCTTTGCAATAAAATAGATTTCCTACGTGTTATGTCCTTCTGTCTCTGAAGAGTCCATAGTCATAGACCCCAATGAAGGAAATAGAAGAAATGTAACTTGTCCAGAGAAAGGGAACCAAGGAGGTTAAACTATTGATGCATCTGTACTGAAGGATTAATGCAGTTTAGTGCCACTTTAACTGCCATGGCTCAAGGAGTTGTAGTTTTGCAAGATCTTTAGCCTTCTCTGCCCAGGATTCATGAGCATTGAGTTCTTCCTCCTTCAAGCAAACATCCTGTCTGTGGTGCTTCCAAAAGAGCTCCAAATGTTAAGATATTCTGGTGATGCTTCCACAGGTCCTTCAAGGAGAAAGACCTCAAGAAAATAGCATCTTTTACTGGTTCTTCCAGATGACCTTCAAGAAGCAAGATCTCTAAGTACAAAGACTTTCTCTGGTGCTTCCAGAAGAATAATAGAATTCTAGAGTTGGAAGAGACCTCATGAGCCATCCAGTTCTCCAGGGCAGAAAGAGTTCCACTGCTGAACAACTCTCACAGTTAGGAAGTTCTTCCTAATGTTCAGGTGGAATCTCCTTTACTGTAGCTCCAAGCAAAAAGGGCTTTCAATGATCATGCATCCAGAAGACCTCCAAGCAGTAAGAAATTCTGGTGATGCTTCCAGAAGAAGGACCTTCAAGCAATAGAACAGTGGTTCTCAACCTGGGATCTCCAGATGTTTTTGGCCTACAACTCCCAGAAATCCCAGCCACTTTACCAGCTGTTAGGATTTCTGGGAGTTGAAGGCCAAAAACATCTGGGGACACCAGGTTGAGAACCACTGCAATAGAACCTTCTGTTGGTCCTTCCAGATGACCTTTAAGGTGAAAGATCTCCAACACCTTTGGCTGGTGCTTGCAGAAGAGCTCCAAGCAATAAGATATTGTGATTATTCTTCCAGAAGAAAGACTTCCAAGCACAAATGCTTTTATGTTCTTGATGCTTCAAGAAAACCTTCAAGGAGCAGAGTCTCTAAGCTCAAAGAGAGACTCTGTAGTGCTTCCAGAAGACCTCCAAGCAATGAGACTTTCTTCTGGCCTTCAAGGAGCAAAATCCAAGTAAAAAAGAGCTCCAAGCAATAAGATATTAGAACATTCTGCTAGTACTTCCAGAAGATCTTTAAGGAGCAAGATCTCCAAGTGCAATGACTTTTTGTGGTGCTTCCAGAAGAGCTCCAAGCAATAAGGCCTTTCACTGATGATGCATCCAGAAGATCCCCAAGTAATAAGAGATTATGATGATGCTTCCAGAAAACCTTCAAGGAGAAAGACCTCCAAGCAATAGGACCTTCTGCTGTTGCTTCCAGCAGACCTTCAAGGAGAACACTGTCTAAGCACAAAGGTTTTCTATGGTGCTTTCAGAAGAGCTCCATGCTATAAGGCCTTTTAATGATGATGAGTCTAGAAGAGCTCCAAGTAATTAGATATTCTGATGATGCTTCCAGAAGATCTCCAAGCAATGGAACCTTCTCCTGGTATTTGAAGGAGAAAGATTTCTAAGGCCTTCAGCTGGTGCTTGCAGAAGATCTCCAAGTAATGAGATATTCTGATGATGCTTCCAGAAAACGATCTCGAAGCAAGAAAGCCTGCTGATACTTCCAGAAAACCTCCAAAGGGCAAGATCTCTAAGCACAAAGAACTTCTGTGGTGCTTCTGGAAGAGCTCCAAGTAAAAAGACCTTCTGAACATCCTTCCAGAAAACTTCCAAGGAGAAAGACCTTCAAGCAAAAAAAATTGTGGTGCTTCCAAAAGAGTTCCAAGCAGTAAGATATTAGGACCTTCTACTGGTAGTTCTAGAGGACCTTCAAGGAGCAAGATCTCTAAGCACAAAGACTTTCTGTAGTGCTTCCAGAAGAGCTCCAAGAAAAAAAAACCTTCTGATAATGCTTCCAGGTGACCTTCAAGCAGAAAAACCTTCTGGGGTGTTTCCAAAATAGCTCCAAGCAATAAGATATTCTGCTGGCACTTCCAGAAGACCTTCAAGGAGAAAGACCTCCAAGCAAGAGGAACTACTGCTGGTGCTTCCAGAAGACCTCAAGGAGAATGATCTCTAAGCTCAAAGGCCTTCTATGGTGCTTCTAGGAGAACTCCAAGCAATAAGGCTTTCCAATGATGATGCGTGCAGAAGACCCCCAAGCTTCCAGAAGGTCTATTGTGCTGACATTCCGAAGGCCTTGGCCATTGTTGCTTCTCTTCTCCCTGGCCCTCGTTTCCCCTTGCGCAGAGCAGACACCGAGGCTCCTTCTTCCCAGTGCCCTCTTCTGCGGTGGGGCCCCTCCGCCTGACCGATGGGGCGATGGGGTGACCGGTGCCCTCCAGACCCTGTCCTGGAGGCTGAGGTCGGGCCCCATCGCCTAGCAACGCAGAAGCAGAACCCACTGATGTCGGCACCTTGGCAAGGCTGAGGCACTGCTCCGATGACGAAGCGATGCCAGGAGGCCCAGCTCAGGATGGCAGCCCCGGCCGGGCTCCTCCTGGCCACACTGTCCTTCCTTCGCTTCACGGGGACGCACGGCTACGATCCGGAGAGTAAGTAGGCCCAGCCTCAGAGGTGGGCTTCCTCTACCTTTGGCCCTCCAGGTATTTTGGACGCCAGTTTCCACAATTGGTTGGGATTTCTGGGAGTTGAAGTCCAAAACAAACAAAGGGAGGACCAAAGGTTGGGAAGCAGTGCTGTCATTGACCCCAAGGTAGGACATTCCCATCACCCTATATTCTTTCCAAACCCATCACCATAATAAGGAAAGGTCTCACCATAGTCACAAAAGGCCCACTTTCAATGTTTTGGGACCTCATAATAACACAGATGGGAGTGGATCCCGGAGGATGAGAAGAGTAAGACAAACCTGTCTCTTGTTGACTTTGAGACCATTCACACTGCAGAATTGTAGCGGTTCGATACCACTTTAGTTTCCACTTCTAGGATTTGTAGTTTGTTGTGACGGAGGATGTTTCTACACTCTAGAATTCATGTTGTTTAACACCACTCCCCCCCCCCCCCTCCGGTAGCGCAGTGGGTTAAAGCACTGAGCTGCTGAGCTTGTTGACCAAAAGGTCACAGGTTCGATTCTAGGGAGCGGCGTGAGCTTCCGCTGTCAGCCCTAGCTTCTGCCAAACATGCAAATGTGAGTAGATCAATAGGTACCACTCCGGCGGGAAGGTAATGGCGCTCCATGCGGTCATGCTGGCCACATGACCTTGGAGGTGTCTATGGACAACACTGGCTCTTCGGCTTAGAAATGGAGATGAGCACCAGAGTCCCAGAGTCAGACATGATTGGACTTAATGTTAGGGGAGAACCTTTACCTACCTAACACCACTTGAACTGCCATAGCTAACTGTTGTGGAATCCTGAGAATTGTAGTTTTACTAGGTCTTTAGTCTTGTGAACCTCACAGTACTGGTTCCCCGCTGAACTACAAATCCCAGAATTCTATAGCATTGATTCAATTGTTGTTCATTCATTCAGTCGTTTCCGACTCTTCGTGACCTCATGGACCAGCCCACGCCAGAGCTCCCTTTTGGTCGTCACCACCCCCAGCTCCTTCAAGGTCAAGCCAGTCACTTCACCCAACAGACAAGAATCGTAGAATCAAAGAGTTGGAAGAGACCTCATGGGCCATCCAGTCCAACCCCATTCTGCCAAGAAGCAGGAATATTGCATTCAAATCACCCCTGACAGATGGCCATCCAGCCTCTGCTTAAAGGCTTCCAAAGAAGGAGCCTCCACCACACTCCGGGGCAGAGAGTTCCACTGCTGAACGGCTCTCACAGTCAGGAAGTTCTTCCTCATGTTCAGATGGAATCTCCTCTCTTGTAGTTTGAAGCCATTGTGCGTCCTAGTCTCCAGGGAAGCAGAAAGGAAGCTTGCTCCCTCCTCCTTCCTGTGGCTCCCTCCTCCAGACCCTTGATCATTTTAGTCGCTGGGGAGGGCATTCCACAACCGAGAGGCCACTGCTGAGAAGGCCCTATCCCTTGTCCCTGCCAATCGAGCCTGTGAAGATGACAGGGTCGAGAGCCAGGCCCGTAGCCAGGATTTCATTTCGGGGGGGGGGGGGGGCTGAATTTTTTTCAGGGGGGGTTTCGGGGGGCTGAGTTTCGGGGGGGGGGGGCTGAGTCTGAGTGAAAGAGGGTCTAGCCTAGCAAACTCTTTTGTATCGTTACCCCAATACCCCCATGCATATGGGATATATTGAGTATGGTGATCAGATCATGATATGAATAAACATAACAGTTTAAATAATGCACCAGTAAGGCCTTTTTGCAAACCACCATGAGAATTTCGGGGGGGGGGGGGGCTGAAGCCCCTCAAGGCCCCCTCGTCCCCGCCAATCGACCCTGTGAAGATGGCAGGGCCGAGAGCAGGGCCTCCCCAGAAGATCTTAAATTCCTAGAGGGTTCGTAAGGAGAGATACGTTCAGACAGGTAAGCTGGGCCAGAACCGTTGAGGGCTTTATAGGCTAAAGCCAGAATTTGGATTGTGCTCGGTAGCAAATTGGCAGCCAGTGGAGTTGGCGCAACAGAGGAGTTGTATGCTCCCTGGGCACCGCTCCTGTTAGCAACCTGGCTGCCGCCCGTTGGACCATTTGGAGCTTCCGAACAGTCTTCAAAGGCAACCCCATGTAGAGAGTGTTGCAGTAGTCTATATGGGATGTAACCAGAGCTTGGACCACCGTGGCCAAGTCAGACTTCCCAAGGAACGGGCGCAGCTGGCGCACAAGTGAGATCGGTGGATGAGTGAGACTCTGCCGTACTTTCTTTCCCTGTATCGCTCTGTGGTATATTCTGTCTTGTTGCAAAAGAAAGAAAAGACTCCTTTGGATGCTTTTGAAATACTACTTTTTAATGTATTCCTGCTGACACCACTTCCTCCTCCTCCTCTTTTGCAGCCTGTGGGAAGCGTCCCCTGGCGCCCTCGTATGCGGGCAGCATGCGGATCGTGGGCGGCGTGGACGCGGTGCCCGGAGAGTGGCCCTGGCTGGTGAGCATCCAGATCCCCTCCAAGGAGGGGACGCGGCACTCCTGCGGAGGGTCCCTCCTGGCCAACAGCTGGGTCCTCACCGCCGCCCATTGCTTCAAGACCAAGAGGAGGTAAGGGCCAGGCGTGGGTGGGAAGATCTATTTATTTATTGTGTTGTCGAAGGCTTTCATGGCCGGAATCACTGGGTTGTTGTAGGTTTTTTCGGGCTATGTGGCCATGGTCTAGAGCAGTGTTTCTCAACCTGGGGGTTGGGACACCTGGGGGGGGGGTCATGAGGGGATGTTAGAGTGTCACCAAAGACCATCAGAAAACACAGTATTTTTTGTTGGTCATGGGGGTTCTGTGTGGGAAGTTTGGCTCAATTCTATCGTTGGTGGGGTTCATAGTGCAATTTGATTGTAAGTGAACTATAAATCCCAGCAACTACAACTCCCAAATGTCAAGTTGCATTTCCCCAAACTCCACCAGTGTTCACATTTGGGCATATTGCGGATCTGTGCCAAGTTTGGTCCAGATCCATCATTGTTTGAGTCCACAGTGCTCTCTAGATGTAGGTGAACTACAACTCCCAAACTCAAGGTCAATGCCCACCAAACTCTTCCAGTATTTTCTATTGGTCATGGGAGTTCTGTGTGCCAAGTTTGGTTCAATTCCATAGCTGGTGGAGTTCAGAATGCTCTTTGATTGTAGGTGAACTATAAATCCCAGCAACTATAACTCCCAAATGACAAAGTCAACCCCATCAGTATTCAAATTTTGGGCATATTAGGTATTTGTGCCAAATTTGGTTCAGTGAATGAAAACACATCCTGTATACTGGATATTTACATTCCAGTTCATAACAGAAGCAAAATTACAGTTATTAAGTAGCAACGAAATTAATGTTATGGTTGGGGGTCGCCACAACATGAGGGACTGTATTTAGGGGTCGCGGCATTAGGAAGGTTGAGAACCACTGTTCTAGAGGCATTCTCTCCTGACGTTTCGCCTGCATCTATGGCAGGCATCCTCAGAGGTTGTGAGGTCCGTTGGAAACTAGGAAAATAGGGTTTAATATATCTGTGGAATGTCCAGAGTAGGACAAAGAACTCTTGTCTGTTGGAACTAGATGTGAATGTTTAAATTGACCACCTTGATTAGCATATAATGACCTGACAGTGCCTAGAGCAAACTTTTGTTGAGATATATATTAGGCTTGGGCGGTTTCGTTCGTTAATTTCGTAATTCGTTATTAATTCATATTTAAATTAGCTTACGATCCAATATTGAGCCATGCAGGAATAGTGTGAGGAGTAAATTAGATTCAAAACAATTTTTTCAATTTATTTCGTAATTATTTCGTAATTATTTCGTAATTATTTCGTAATTATTTTCGCATGTCTGGTGCAAGTTTTATAGTTGTTGTTTGTTTTATCACACCAACAGTCAACAACAGAGGGAGAGGGAAGCTTCAGAAGTTCCACCTGTCCCGTTTGGAGGGTTTTTTAGCATATTGCGCAATCTCGTCCGCCATTAACGAATCGATTCGTAATTTTACGAAATTTCGTAAATTTCGAAATTTTTAAAAGGAAAATTTCGGAATTATTTAAAAAAAACGAAACGCAAGGGCCCCCTAAAAACGAAACGAGTTTAGAACCAAATTTTTCCGTGGTTACCCAAGCCTAGTTATTAGATGTCCTTGTTTGTTTCCTCTCTGTTTGTTGTGCTGTTGTAATTTTAGAGTTTTTCAATACTGGTAGCCAGATTTTGTTCATTTTCATGGTTTCCTCTTTTCTGTTGAAATTGTCCACATGCTTGTGGATGTCAATGGCTTCTCTGTGTAGCCTGACATTTCATTTCATTTCATTTCATCTACTTATACCCCGCCCTTCTCACCCCGAGGGGGACTCAGGGCGGCTTACAGGAAAGGCACAATTAGATGCCCAAAACACACAACAAACAATACAAAATATAACAATTCAACAATTAAAATAAAACATCAATACCTAATAAAATCATAAAAACTATCTAATGTATCAGAGTCCATATATCCATTCCATTCCATTGTCCTTGTCTATCGACAGGTCCTTTAATTAGTTGTCAGCATGGCCAAAAGCTTGGTCCCACATCCAGGTCTTTAGTTTTTTCCTAAACGCTAGAAGGGAAGTCGTCGATCTGATCTCCCCGGGGAGTGAGTTCCACAGGTGAGGGGCCACCACTGAGAAGGCCCTGCTCCTCGTCCCCGCCAGCCTCACTTGTGCCACTGGCGGGGTCGAGAGCAGGGCCTCCCCAGAAGATCTTAAACTTCGAGGTGGGATGTAGAGGGAGATCCGTTCGGACAGATACACTGGGCCGGAACCGTATAGGGTTTTGTAGGTCAAAACCAGCACTTTGAATTGTGCTCGGAATTGGATCGGCAGCCAGTGGAGCTGACGCAACAGGGGGGTGGTGTGCTCCCTGTACGCCGCTCCGGTGAGCAATCTGGCTGCTTCTCGCTGGACTAGTTGAAGTTTCCGAGCAGTCTTCAAAGGCAACCCCACGTAGAGTGTGTTGCAGTAATCCAACCGGGATGTGACAAGAGCGTGGACCACTGTGGCCAGATCCGACTTCCCAAGGTACGGGCGCAGCTGGCGCACAAGTTTTAATTGTGCAAAAGCTCTCCCGGCCACCGCTGAGACCTGGGGTTCCAGGCTCAGCGATGAGTCCAGGATCACTCCCAAGCTGCGAACCTGCGTCTTCAGGGGGAGTGTAACCCCGTCTAACACAGGCTGTAACCCTATGCCCTGTTCGGCCTTACGACTGACCAGTAGGACCTCTGTCTTGTCTGGATTCAATTTCAATTTGTTAGCTCTCATCCAGTCCGACACAGCAGCTAAACACCGGTTCAAGGTCTGGACAGCCTCCTTGGTGACAGGTGAGAAGGAGTGACAGATTTGGACGTCATCTGCATAGAGATAGCATCTTAGTCCGAAACATAGTGGTTGTGAGAGTGGTCAGAAAAAGGGAAATGCAAAGGGACAGAATGGGGGACGATGATGCCTGGCTCGAGAGCAGGACGTGTGGGAAAATATCTTGGCGTCCTCGTGGAGAGGAAGGGGAACAGGAGCCAGGAATGTTGTGGCTGCAAAAAAAGCCAATGGTATTTTGGCCTGCATCAATAGGAGCATAGTGTCTAGATCAGGCTTGGATGAAGAGAGCCATATTCGGCCCTCCAAGGTCCTTTGTCCTACCATGGTCATGCCACAGATATATAACCTAGGCTTGGGCGATCAAGAAAAAAATTGGTTCTAAACTCGTTTCGTTTCTAGGGTGCGCTAGCGTTTCTAAATTCTGAGGACTTCCGAAATTTAAGATTTCAAAATTTCGAAATTTCCGAAATTTCGTAAATTACGAATCGATTCGTTAATGGCGGACGCGATTGCGCAATATGCTAAAAAAACCTCCAAATGGGACAGGGGGAACTTCTGAAGCTTCCCTCTCCCTCTGTTGTTGACTGTTGGTGTGATAAAACAAACAACAACTATATTATATTTATTTATTTATTTACTTTACTTGTATACCGCAGTTTGTATATTATATTATTATTATATTATAATGTATGATATTATATATATTATATATATTATATTATATTATACAATTATAATATAATATAATAATATAGTAATAAAATATATAATATAATAATATAATATAATATATAATATATATATTATAATATTATTATATTATATATTATATTATAGTATTGTATATTAGAGTGAGGCAAGAAGAAGCATGAGGAAAGAGGAGGGAAGCAGCAGAGCAAAGGGACCGGAAGTGGGGTAAATGCGAGATTGTAAAACTTGCACCAGACATACGAAAATAATTACGAAATAATTACGAAAATTGGAAAAATTGTTTCGATTATTAATTACTTAATTACTTAATTACAGAGGGGGCGTCCCTGGTCAAGGGGTCCTGGTCAAGTGGTCCCTGGTCAGAGGAGTCACTGGTCAGAGGGATACCTGGTCAGAGGGGTCCCTGGTCAAGGGCCTCTGGTCAAGTGGTCCCTGGTCAGAGAGGTTCCTGGTCAAAGTGGTCCCTGGTCAAGTGGTCTCTGGTCAGAGGGGTCCCTGGTCAAGTGCTCCGTGGTCCCTGGTCAGAGTGGTCCCTGGACAAAGTGGTCCCTGTTCAAGTGGTCCCTGGACAAAGTGGTCCCTGGTCAAAGTGGTCCCTAGTCAAGTGGTCCCTGGTCAAAAAAGGTTGGGAACCACTGTTCTAGTCCTTTGGTTGCCCATTTCTGGACACCTTCCAGCTTGTTTTGGACGTGCCGTGTGGGCCTTTGTGTGCTGATGGGAGTCCCTTTGCTCACAGGTCCTTGGGTCAGTGGCGGATTGTGTTGGGCAGCACGGACCTTGCAGAGATACTGGACACTGCGGAGCTGCGCTCGGTGAAGAAGGTCATCCTTCACCGGGATTACAATCCACGCAACGAGGCCAACGATGTGGCGCTCATGGAGCTGGACACCCCTGTTGCCTTCAGCGACTACGTGCAGCCGGCCTGCCTGCCCCGCATCACAGATGAGAAGACCACCTACGCCAGCTGCTTCATCAGCGGATGGGGAACCACCTCCCAGAATAGTGAGGCCATGGGTTTGGAGAGGGTGGGGGGGGGGGAGAAGTCATAAGACCTTGTTATGCTACAACTCCCAGGGTTCCGTAGTATTGAGCCATGGAAGTTCAAGTTGGGTCAAATTGCATTCCTGCACCCAAGGATAGCTCCGCTGTAGGGTAATTATCCAAGGACTTTAATCTATCACAGTGGTCAACAAAATGGTAGTATCTTGGTGGACTTTACCAACAGTGGTCCATACCAGTAGTGTCGGTGGTAATCACAAATGAAGTTTTGATGTAAAAATCTTAACTACATTGATTAAGTAACCAAAACAGCCCTATATAATTCACTCTGAACTATGTAACGGCTGATTTTGGAAGCTGCTTTGGGTCCAATTTTGGGAGAAAGGTGGCAGATATTTGGAATTTAGTAGATGGACTTTTATTAGATGGTTATTTTGTATTTTGGTGTGGGGGCTAGTAGTGCAGCGGATTAAACCGCGGAGCTACTAAACTTGCTGACTGAAAGGTTGGTGGTTCGAATCCAGAGAGTGGGGTGAGCTCCCGCTGTTAGGCCCAACTTCTGCCAACCTAGCAGTTCAAAAACGTGCAATAGAATAGAATAATAGAATCATAGAATCAAAGAGTTGGAAGAGACCTCCTGGGCCATCCAGTCCAGCCCCATTCTGCCAAGAAGCAGGAATATTGCATTCAAATCACCCCTGACAGATGGCCATCCAGCCTCTGTTTAAAAGCTTCCAAAGAAGGAGCCTCCACCACACTCCGGTGGAGGCTCCGCATTTGTTAGGATGAGATCAAGAGTAGCCAATCCCCTTGTTGCCTCTTCTACCTTCTGGACCATGAAACTGTCTGCAAGGCAAGCGAGGAATTTGTTGGACTTTGTACTCTTGGCCGAGTTTGTTTTCCAGCAAATATCGGGATAGTTGAAATCGCCCATGATTACTACATCTCTTCTCTGTGCCTGTTTGGTCAACTGTTGGCAGAAGACTTCATCAAGTTCTTCCTCCTGGCTTGGAGGTCTGTAGTAGATGCCTACAACGAGATCTTTTTGAGTCCCAGTTCCCTTGATTCTTATCCAGATGCTTTCAAGCTGGATTGCTCTCTTGCATCTCTTCTGCAGCATAACAGTTTTTGACATATAAGGCTACTCTGCCTCCTCTCCCCTTTGTTCGGTTTCTGTGAAAGAGGTTATAGCTCTCGATGTCTACATTTCAGCGATGAGTCATCCCACCAGGTTTCAGTGATCCCTATGATATCATATTTGTGGTGTTGACATTAAGTCCAGTCATGTCTGACTCTGGGGTGTGGTGCTCAACTCCATCTCTAAGTTGAAAAGCCGGCATTGTCCGTAGAAACCTCCAAGGTGTCTTGTTTATTTCCCATGCTCTGTGCATTAGTGTAAAGACATGTGAACCCATGAGATCTTCCCCTGAGCTGTTTAATTGGGATTATTGTGCTTTCGGTACTTGGTCCTTTTTGTGTTTGTGCAGCCCTCCGTTTAGCCTTCTGGCGGTTCCCAGACATTGTGGGTAAAGTAGTGTTCGCAAGGCTGTTGTCCCCCTCCCCCGGTGGACCTAGTTTAAAGTGCGTCTAATGAGGTTTGCGAGTCTGTGAGCAAAAAGGTGTTTTCCTACTTGTGTGAGATGCACCCCATCCCTTGCCAGTAGGCCATCCTCCTGGAAAAGCAGGCCATGGTCGAGGAAGCCAAAGCATTCCTCCTGACACCATTTTCTAAGCCAGTCATTGACCTGTACTATTTTTCTGGCCCTTGTAGGACCGTGTCTTACAACTGGGAGGAGGGATGAAAAGACCACCTGTACATTACATTGTTTTAGCTTTGTTCCGAGAGCTCGAAAATCATTTATGATCTTTTGAAAAGTATGCCTAGCAGTATCATTGGTTCCTACATGAATCAACATGAGGGGAGGACGGTGATGGGGCTTGAGGAGCCTGGTGAGCCTCTGAGTGATATGGTGTATTTTTTGTATTGCTTCTTTGGGAAGGTAACGGTGCTCCATGCAGTTATGCTGGCCACATGATCTTGGAGGTGTCTATGGACAATGCGAACTCTTCAGCTTAGAAATGGAGATGAGCACCAGGGTCCCAGAGTAGGACATGACTAGACTGAATGTCAAGGGAAACCTTTACCTTATATTCATGTGTAATTGTTGCTATGTACTGCCTTGGGTCTTCGGAGAAAGGCGGTATAGAAATTATTGATTTATTGACCTCTGAGCGTCCACTCAAAGGCACAAAAGTAAATAATGAAGTGTGCTACCGCAGTCAGCTCCGAAGCCCGGAGCGGCACTTATCTTTTTATTGCAATTTACACTATTTACAGGAGCAGAATATAACACGTCCATTCACTAGCTGTACATCACTGGAAGCTCAAAGCATGGCATGTCTGATTCAGTGGAATGTAAACACACTCAGGGACACTCAAAGGTTATGCTCTAGGAATCAAGTACAGCTCTATACATTTAACTCTTACACTGCAGTGCTACACCACACATTGTGTAAACTACAAACAATATTTCATCACATAAATACATACACACATAAATAATGAAATAAATACATGCTCCAAATGTGTGATCACAGTTATAAAGGCATAACTTCGGGTATCTTGTGTATTTTTAAAGAACCCCCCATTCAGTGATATTTGGTTATTAAAAAATCCGAAGAATGAGCGGCAATGAAGGAACAGTGCACCCCTTAAAACAGGGTTTCTCAACCTGGGGGGGAGTGTACTGGATTAGCACTCAGGCTTGATTACTCTTTTAAAATATACCCTGCCACCATTAATCTTTTTATTGCTGCAGGAAACTGCTTTTAAAACTTCACCCGCAGAGGCACACTTGAGGCAAATGTTGTGAACAATAAAACAATGATGTTTATTTAAGAGAACTAGAACAAAACAGGCAATAAGCTTAGATGTTATGAGGGGGTTGTGAGTGGGTGTCAGAGGGGTCGCCAAAGACCAACAGAAAACATTTTCTGTTGGCCGTGGGGGTTCTGTGTGGGAAGTTTGGCCCAATTCTATTGTTGGTGGGGTTCAGGATGCTTTTTGACTCCAGGTGAACTATACATCCCAGCAACCACAACTCCCAGAGGGCAAGGTCTATTTTCCCCAAACTCCATCTGTGTTCATATTTGTGCATATGAAATATTCGTGCCAAGTTTGGTCAATGTTCGAGTCCACAGTGCTCTCTGGATGTTGATGAACTACAACTCCCAAACTCAAGGTCAATGTCCACCAAACCCTTCCAGTAATTTCTGTTGGTCATGGGAGGTCTGCGTGCCAAGTTTGGTTCAATTCCATCCTTGGTGGTGTTCAGAATGCTCCTTGGTTGTAGGTGAACTATAAATCCCAGCCACTACAACTCCCAAATGACATCAACCTCCCCCAACCCCACCCTAATGTACCGGGATAGCTGGCAAACCTTCAGGTGCATCTTGTAGCTGCACCTGAGCATCTCCATCTGCCAAAGGGAAATTGCACAAGAAGGTCCCGATTACCTCCTGCCACAATGTCTCCAAACTTTGCAGCATTCAATTAAGGATTCAGCTTCTTGCTAGGAGACGGTGGCAGCCATGCTCACCTGTCCCTTCAACTTGCAGGTGTGAAGACGTCAGATGTCCTGCAGGAGGCCAAGGTGAACATTCTGGATGTCCAGAAGTGCAACAGCAGCGAGTGGTACAGCGGGGCCATGAGTCCGCACACGCTGTGCGCAGGGTACGAGGAAGGCGGCATCGACAGCTGCCAGGTAAGTAGCCACGGAGGGTGTGTGGACCTCTTCTGTGGAGCTTCTAGGAGAATGGCTGCTCTGTCCCATCTACTAGCTCTTCCCTTCCCTGCGTTCCTTCTTTCCCATGTGCATTCCAAAATTGGGGGTCTGCCATTGGCCAAATCCTTCCTATAAGCTGCTCCCCAATACGGGACTTCAATGTGGGCAATCTCTTCCAACAAGGAAATTATCGCACTGCCCCGTTAAAGCGCTGCTAACCCACTTTGACTGCAATGGCTGCCTCTTGTGGGATTCTGGGCTTTGCAGTTCAGTGAAGCCTACGACCTCTCTGGCTGGGAACTCCAAAGGCCCCTCCCTCAAATGCAAAGGCCAATGTTCCACATGAGGCGGCCCTCACAGTTAACATGGAATAACAACATAGTGTGATAACCTCCCAAGACAACTGCATGGAATGACATGACAAAGCCATTGGTAACAAAGCAGCGGTTGGGGTGTGTCAGGAGTCAATTTCTGGCGGCATGAAGACATCTATTCTGGTAGATGGGGAACAACATTTCGAGATTGTTGGTATTTTAGACTCCAGAAGACGTCGTGGAAGTTTACAGTATGTAGTGAAGTGGCGCCATTTCAATGACTCTGAGTGGGTGAGGGCAGCAGATATTCGAGCGCCAAAGCTAATTAGGCGTTTTCATGTAAATTACACCATAAAACCTAGTTAAGGTCGATGCTGCCGGTGTTTATGTTTTTCTTTCTAGGGGAGGAATCATGTCAGGAGTCAATTTCTGACGGCATGAAGACATGTTGTCAGAAATCCCATCACAAATTCCCTCCGTGACATCCTGACTGAATCATCCTGGCTGCCTCAGTTTTCTCTCTGTGACATTTTGAAGCCAGAAGAGGGTGCTGGAAACCTTGTATTCTGGAACTTGTGAAGCAACAAGTTCTAATAAGGAAACTGAGAAGAGCAGGGAGATGGGCAGGAAAGGTGTATAAAAGGAAGTGGTGGTGGGGAAAAGTCAGTAGTGTCTTTCTTTGCTGCAGAGGAACAAGCAATATATTCATTTCCAAGCAAAACCGGCTTGTGAGTGATCATTTAATATTACTATATAAAACCTACAGCCTTACAGGGTGCTGCTGAGGGAGGCCTCCAGTTTGTAGATGGTGCCCCCATTTTGCCTTTCCCCTGTGACCCTGTGACCCCTTCCTTCCTTCTCTTTACAGGGAGACAGCGGGGGGCCCTTGATGTGCAAGACGTCGGCGGAGTCGCTGTACTACGTGGTGGGCATCACCAGCTGGGGCAAAGGCTGTGCCCAGCCCAACCGGCCCGGCGTCTACACCTCCACCAAGGACTACATTGAGTGGATCGTAGGCACGATGTTGGAGGAGGAAGGGGGCCAGACCCAGGAAACCACAACGACACCTTCGGCCAGCACCCCTCTGGGTGGCATCACACTCCTTCCTTCGAGCAGCGCTGCCACAGAGGACATCTCTTCCACCTCAGAGCTGCCTTCAGATGAACCCACCAGCTCAGAATGGGCCACCATGGCCCCCACAGAAAGGCCTGAGACCATAGTAGAAGTGAGCAACATCCCTCTCCCCATGGAGACGTCTTCAGCGCTTTCCAACACCACACCGACCTCTTCGTCTACAATGACCTCGACAGTGCGTACCACCCCAAGGCCACAAACCGTCGGGAACACCACCTTGGAAGACACGGAGCCGACTATCATCATAGAGCCCCCCTTCATTCCTCCCACATATGCGGCCCCGTTGCTAGAAGCCCCCTACCTCCCATTGGAGCGGACGATCACCTTGGAGCCCCCGTTCTTCCCCCAGGAAATGGCTCCCACTGCAATTGACCCGCCCTACATCCCGAAGGAGGTCCCTCCCACCCCTCTTGAGTTACCCTTCCTCCCCCATGAGGTCACCGTCACCCTTGAGTCCCCCTATATCCCCTCCGAGGAGCCCTACACTACACCTGAGCCCCCTTTTATCCCTTCATTACCCACCTACATCACTCCAAGGCCGGAGTCTTCGGAGTCGCGGCCTTCTCTGCCGCCTCCCTACCTCCGCATAGAACGGCCCCCTTACACCCTGGAACCCCCTTACATTCCCCAGGAGGTGATGCCCACTCCACCGCTGCGCACTCTGCCTACGACCATCACCACCACCACCACCACCACTCAGAGGACACGTCACGAGACCTTGGAGCCCCCCTACATGCCCCCGGATACAGCCCCCACCATACAACCCCCCTACATCCCACCTGAGAACCCTGTCACCATAGAGCCCCCTTTCATCCCCTCGGAGACCACCATTTCCCTGGAGCCCCCCTTCACCCCCTCGGATACGCCGATCACCTTAGAGGCCCCTTTCACTCCTCGTGAGCGCAGGAAGTACACCATAGAGCCGCCATTCACTCCCTTCGAAGTCGGTTACAGATCCCCAGAGCCCCCCTACATCCCCCCGGAGACATCTACTATACTGGAGCGCCCCTATACACCCCCGGAATCACGCTTCAAATCCCCAGAGCCGCCCTACATCCCCACGGAGTCCACAACCTCCGTGGAGGTTCCCTACAGGCCTCCAGAGCCTGGCTACACTCCCCCGGAGTCTCCCTATGTCCCCATAGAGAAGCCTATCACCCTGGAGCGGCCCTATACCCCTCCAGAACTCGGGTACACCTTTCCGGAGCCTCCATACATTGCTGGTCTCGAGCCAGAACACCCTCCAGGCAGGGATATAGAGCCTCCTTACATCCCTCCAGAGATTGGGGACTCGTCGGAGCCCCTCAATAAATACTCAAAGTACCCCTACCCTCCACCGGAGCCTCCGTACATCCCCCCAGAAAGAGAAGAGCTGGAGCCAAACCTTTTGGGGCCACCCCTCCGTTACCGGAAGAGGCAGCGCACCTTGGAGTTCCCCTTCTTCCACCTGAAGACTGGGGCTCCGCTGCAGCATCCAATGGAGAGGCTTCGCCGGAAGGACAAGGAGAAATACAACATGTTACCCTACAAATTTCCGGCACCCATCGCCCTCCCAAAGTCTGCCAAGCACTACATTCCCCGAAAGTCTCCTGTTAAATTCTGGCCACGTTCCAAATAGGAGAGTCTACTAGATGGCTTGCCCATGGACCTTCCTAGGTTGGCTCTCCTAGATGTCTTTGGATGGTATGTTCCTCAAAAGCCCACATAGATGTCAGTGCCATCTCTCTCCCAAATCCCCAAATTTTCAGAGACTCGGCAACAAAGCCAAGAATGTCCAACGGAAGTGGTGAGGAGACCTGATTTCTGGTCCATGGCAGATGAAAGACATCTTCCGGACTGACCAGAAGGACTTCTTGGTGAGAACAAAGGGACCGAGATGTTCCACTCTGCCTTCCACAGCTGTGTCACTTGCAGGCATGGGACAATGGGACATAGAGTGAACTATCCCTGTCTGCGTGGTTTCATGGTTGGCCCTGGACCTTCCCAATGGGTCATTCAGAGCAGAAGGTGAGGAGATATCGGGAGAAGACCCACCTGAATGGGAATCTATGCAGAGTATCATCATTCTTCCACTTGGGTCTCGGCTGCATTAAACTGTGCTGCCCTTGGTTTGTGTCTGAATGTGATTCCATCTCCAAGAGGAAAAAGGGATTGGGTTCCTCTCTCATTCACTAGAGGGATTTGGGGGCTCACTTCTATTGCCACTTAAGCCGTGTCTCTTTGAGGTTGCCTCCAAACACCACCTCGTTCCTTGAGCACCCAACCTTTGAACAATGGGACCATCCAGGTGGCTTCGGGGACACAACTGCACAAAATAGATCACCCATCCTATAACACGAAACCACATCTGGGGTTCATTTCTATTGCCACTGAAGCCGTATCTCTTTGAGGTTGCCTCCAAACACCACCTCATTCCTTGAGCGCCAAACCTTTGAACAATGGGACCATCCAGGTGGCTTCAGGGACACAACTGCACAAAATATATCACCCATCCTATAACATGAAACCACATCTGGGGTTCATTTCAATTGCCACTTAAGCCATGTCTCTTTGAGGTTGCCTCCAAACACCACCTTGTTCCTTGAGTACCCAACCTTTGAACAATGGGACCATCCAGATGGCTTCAGGGACACAACRGCACAAAATAGATCACCCATCCTATAACATGAAACCACATCTGGGGTTCATTTCAATTGCCACTTAAGCCGTGTCTCTTTGAGGTTGCCTCCAAASACACCTCGTTCCTTGAGCGCCCAACCTTTGAACAATGGGACCATCCAGGTAGCTACAGGGACACAACTGCACAAAATATATCACCCATCCTATAACACGAAACCACATCCGGGGTTCATTTCAATTGTCACTTAAGCCATGTCTCTTTGAGGTTGCCTCCAAACACCACCTCGTTCCTTGAGCATCCAACCTTTGAATAATGGGACCATCCAGGTGGCTTCAGGGACACAACTGCACAAAATAGATCACCCATCCTATTAC